CGATTCAGTGTGTTTTCCGGTTTTTCCTTAAATCCCTATTTATGTTCCAGCGAATTCCCACTCTCTCAGAAACCACTTGATTTTCAAGTCGAAAGGTACTATCTTTTTGACCCGGAAATGTAATCTTTCTCAAATCCAAGTGGAATCGTTTTGAGATCTTTTTGAAATCTTATTGAAATCTAAATGAAATCCATTTCAAATCCAAATAAAATCTTTTTGAAATCTGGATTAAATCTTTTTGAAATCTGAATAAAATCTTTTTGAAATCGGAATGAAATCCATTTCAAATCCAAATGAAATCTTTTTGAAATCTAAACGAAATCCTTTTCGAATCTGAATAAAATCTTTTTGAAATCTGAATGAAATCCATTTCAAATCTGATTAAAATCTTTTTGAAATCCAAATGAAATCTTTTTGAAATCTAAATGAAATCCTTTTCAAATCTAAACGAAATCTTTTTGAAATCTAACTAAAATCGTTTTGAAATCCGAATGAAATCTGTTTCATTTGCAGGTGAAATCATCGAGAATAACGAATGGAAAACGGCCGTTTACTTTGATGTATGGTAGCCTTGGTGGTCGTAAACGGCTGTGTATGTTAAGATACGACGATTCTCGTTGTCGTAAACTGTCGTTTCGTTCAAAATACGACCGTGTCACGGCACTGCTTTTAACGTTTACGGTAGATGGGTTTCACCGTTTACGTCACGGTGGATTACGGCCGTAATACGGGGCATACCAAACGGGCTATTTACGGTCCGTATACGGTCGTAACTCTGACGGTTACGGCCGTTTGCGGTATCGTGCACGGCTGTTTACGGCCGTTTACGGCCACTGTAATGTTCGTCCTGGGATGACATTCTTACTTTGGTTTATTTACTTCTCTACTTAATTCGAAATCGTTCTTCATCATTTCTCTTCACCCTGTGTATTACGCATGATCAGACAGGCATGATAAGAAAATGTGAAAATTTATAAATTTCACAGGAATTCTGGCACAGATTTTATGCGCAATCAGCATTTTTAAGTAGCCTTGGAATTTTCATAAATGGTATTACGTTATCAGTTTGTTTCGAAAAAAGCATCGGTTTTTATGCATAATTTCAAAAGGAGGTAATAGTGATTGATATTATTTCACCTATATCGCAATGAAAATAAAATTGAACATTGAACAATTTATTAAGAAAATGATCAACATAAAAAACTCTACAAGTTCTAAAAGTCGCAAATAGTGAGTGAATCAAGTGGTCAAATTTATGAATAAATTAATCAGTTTTTCTGAAAAATTACAATCTAAAGTATTGTAGACGCTTGTTGCTTACTGAATTTGAAGTGTGGGCTAAAAGAAGTAGTGCATCATGTAGAGAAAATTTTTCTATATTGAACTGGTAATGCCACTATTCTGGTTCATCGCAACTTCTTGAGAAAAGTTTTCAAACAATGTTTTTTCTCTGGTGAATTGTCTTAGCCTTAGTCGATCTTGCAAATTTCTTCAAACGTTTTGTAACTCCTATGAATTCAGATGCAGTTTTTCACGAGGAATCTGAATATGTGGTTGGTTTTAAAATTCGAGTAAAGAAAGAGGGACTCTCATCGTTATTTCGAAAAAAATGTAGTTGTTTTTGAAAAAGTGCCTTTTTTGTATTTGACCTCTATCATCGCGAAAAAAGAGTTTATTTTGAAACCGTTTATTATCAAAATGTTCAGCGAAAATTTCTCTACAAACCATGAAAGTTTCAAGAAATTTGGGCGTAGTCGCCGGATGGACTGGCGATTTCTGGTGGAATGACCCTACTTCGAACATTCGTTAATGATATTTCAAATAATCCATCAACTTCACAAAGAGATGAATGATATCGGTATATAAATTGAATTTGTGTATTACAATAGATTTATCGATTTTATCACCTCTTAACAATTCTATAATAGAATTTACCACTAATAATAATATTGGTTTGTCACCAATAATCAATAATAAAATCATTTTTGGTATAATCTATTATTAAAATTGGATTATTTGGTCTTTTCTATACGATGCATCCAATAATTCTCAATATTCTATTAATCAATTTCTATCAGTTACTGAAAAATGTAATCATTGACTTATTTTTATTCTTCATTATTTTGTCTTTCATCGTTACTTTTTGTTTCAGCAATTGTTTTGATTAACTTAAAAGTCATATCACTAGTGTATGGGTGTCATATTCCATTTACCTGAGAAAGTAAGTAATATGCAGGGAGGGCGCGAAGCAACAAAAATATAGAGGGGTTACTTGAAAACGGGAGGTTTTTTTCAAAAATCGGAGTAAATCAATAAAAATCTCACTTTTTTTCAAAAATCGGAGTAAATTAATAAAAATTTCTTCTATTTTCTTCAAATCGGAGTAAAATTGAAACAAAAATGCCTAAAAATTCAACAAAAAATTTCCAATCTGGGGGGGACCCCCCCCCCCCCCCGTTCGCGCCGTCCCTGGTAATATGCATAGTCATAAGTCTTTTACCAAGAATTTAGAATTGACATTGACAAAGAAATGTCTCTAGGAGGTGAAACATTGCTTTATTTTTAATGTACTATTTCATTAGTATAGAAGTCGGAGTGAGATTACTATAACTCTAAAAGTATTTCAGTTTTTAAGATCTGTTGTTGTTGTTGTTGTTGTTGTTAGAGGGGTGTCGCATACATACATGATGATATATACATACGTATATGACCCTCCATCCTCTTTTATCTCGATATATCTTTAATTGGCGCTCTTCTTTCGTTCTCTCTAAATATGTATTATAAATGCTCGAGTACAAGTCAAAAAGGTAACTATTTGTATTAGAAAACTGCATTTTTCTCTGCTCATAAAATTATTTTAGTAAAAATTCTGCATCAATTTTTTGATATGAGTCATTCCTTACATCAAGTTCAGTAAATACTATTAACTAATAAAAACTGATGATTTATCGGTTAGAATTTTTGGCAGAGATAGAATAGGTATAATTCTCACAAACTCTTTTAATAAGATCATATTAAACTCTGAAAGATCGGTGATTTAGCGCATGAAACCTAAGGTTTTATTTGAGAACTCTTTCTCATTACGCATTCTATATAGGTTTTCACTTTTCAATAACGATCATCAAGAAGATTTTGACCTTGAAGTTTTGTAAATGTTTTGCTTATGTAGTTTAGTAAAATTTTCATCGTCATCTGATAATTTGAAACTATTTCAAAATTATTCTCCTCGTGAAGAGGAACAAGTAAAATAAGAATTTCTGCCATTAAAAGTATTTCTCTTTTTATTTTCAGTATAAAAATAGATGAAAGTAATAATAAATTAGTACAACGGTTAAATGGTGTAATGCATAAATGTATTCATTTACATCATACTCATAGATGATTGAATTAATGAAAAAACAACGATAAATTAAAAGAAACTTTTCTTTTTGAAACAAAAACAGCCTTTATTTTATCTTTTGTTACAGATCATATATTTTCCATTATTTTTTAATAAATAATGTGCATACTGTAATTAAAATGCAACCTATTTCATGCACTATCTTCTAAATAGTGGGAAAATTTTCCAATAATTCATTGATTTTTAATGAATTATTTCAAATTTTACCATTATTTCCCTGCAATGCATTATAAATTATAATGCATCAAAATTTTAAAATATAATGGAATCTAATGCATTGAAAGGGTGAAAAATTTTAATTAATTAGATTCCACTATATTTTAAAATTTTGATGCATTATAATTTATAATGCATTGCAGGGAAATAATGGTAAAATTTGAAATAATTCAATAAAAATCAATGAATTATTGGAAAATTTTCCCATTATTTTACATTGTCGGTTACATGGGTAGGTATCGTCATGATCCATTTACAAATTCAGAAAAAAAGAAAGTGAATAATGATTGGATTGAATTTACTCCCACGATTATCACTAAAAGTACAATAAAAAAGCTAAACCAAAGAAACGAAAACAAAGTAGTCAATGCATTTTAACCTTTTATTACTTTATAACAGTTCATATTTATAAATTGTTTAATAGCATGCTTCTTATGTGAAATGCTAGCAGTGTTAATTCAGAGAGTTTTTATTTTTTAATATATAAGACAACTTTTTTATATTATTACTATTAAGAAAAGAAAGATTTAATCACATTAATCCTCAACATCATGACCAAAATTAAACCTAATGAATATGTTATAAAAATACATATAACGTTTTTGGTTTCATGTATGCCTGCAGGACAGGCCGGAAAAAGTGGCCTGTTGGCATCTCTGTTGCTTATCTTATCTGTATGATAGATATTCTTGTATTTTTCTCATTTGAATTAGTTCTATAATAGCAAAGAAAAAATGAATGCAATTGGAGAACATGATGATGGTACGAATGAATATATTTTCATTTCAATTAAACGTTTTTTAATCTATACTTGCCTTTGATTTATCAGAAACAAATCAACATATGCCAGGTACAGAATATAGGGTAGAAGAACTTATGAAGGGGCTACAAGTAAATAGGAGACATTTTTTTTATATTAGCTAGTTAACTATTTTTCTTATCATTTAGAATATTGACGAGTGGAAAGAATTTTTACTATCTGTACAAATGTTTCATCATATCGAGGATGTACAACGCTACGATATTGCTTGTCAGGTGACATATGTTGAATTCAATCACGAACAAGAAATTATTATACAAGGTTAAGATGGTAATGCATTTTATATTATTTTACAAGGTAAAAAAATACGCAATATCTGCTTTTTCTATGAATGATCGTTTTGTAGGTAGTGCGATAGTACATCAAAAAGCATTGCATGATAAATCAGTTATCGAATTATCAAAAATTGGTAAAGAAGATTATTTTGGTGGTAAATCTTTATTATTCAACCAAAAACATGTTGCTACAGTCAAAGCAAATGATATACCCATGGGATAAAAAATTAAGATATATTCACTGCGAAACGCGTTAATGCTGACCGATTGAACGTGTTTCGCAGCGTTTCCTATGGCAACACAGGCGTAAAACCAATTTTCCTATTTACCCAAAACGTGTTTCGGAGCCACTCTATCAGGATGAAAACAAAAAGTATGTCATATCGCGACGTTTTTAACCGATTCAGCAGCTGCGGAATGCATTAAACCGGTCAGCATTAACGCGTTTTGCCGCATTGAAAACTAACGAAATTTTTCCCACGGATATTAAAATGTCTTAAAATGAGTGAAGAACAATTTAAACTTAAATTTGAGCCTGTACATGATGATCTTAAACAACGAGTAGCTCAATATAAGTCATTTATCGATTTATTTGTTTAAGGCCTCCCCCCTCCAAAAAGTCGATTTTCATCAAAAAAATGGATTTTGAGATAAACACATGGGCATGATGCTTGAGTTGTCTACTTTACAAATCCGTAAAGATATTATTGAATCTCTAAGTTTTTATGGGATTTTCGTAAAAAAACTTAAGTTAGTTGGAACTATTATTACTTAAATAGACCCAAAAAAATGACTAGTTGAGTTTTTTCATTATATTTTCATTTTATTTCAAAATAAACAATCTTTAGTAAGAATAATAATGATGAATCGAAAAGTGAGTTGACAACAAAATGGATAGTAGAATATCGTGTATATGTAAAATATATTGAGATCTATTAGTTCTATTGGCAATATATTTTGAACAAAAAGATATATATATATATATATAGACGTTATAAACTATAGGAATAATGACAATTGCTTCCTTGTGTTTGCCAAAGAATCTATTATCACAACAAAAAACTCTAAAAATGAATGTAACCTTATGACGAAAAATATTCGTTTCTCATCGAAATTTCATAGTACGTTCATCATAATATACCTTACAATAGCGACCAATAGGTGGCGTCACCTATCTTGGGATACGTCGCAACAATCATAGTGCAATGCACTGTGACGTGTATCTACCATTGGCATGCAATTCTTACATTCTTATGTTGGTTGCAGGTAATATTCACAAAAAAAAACTTGTTTATCGTTTTTCTCAAAACCGAGCTTTTTGCAAAATATCGATCTCTGAACAAATTTTTCTTCACTATAGTTTATTCTATTAAACTGCGGTTTTTTTCATTTGATAGATAGATATATCGTTCTTCAGATGACGAGAAGGAATTTTTAATTTGACTCCCAATCTATGAGCAATCAGGTATTTTATGAAAAGTCCTACATAGGGTTTTCAGAACTTGAAAGTTTTTTAGATCCCACCAAAGAAAAAAATCAAAATTAAAACAACCCTTTCCCTCATCTGAAGCACCAAGGAGTTCTCTTTCAAATGAGGCCAGCCCGAGCGCTTCATCTCGAAGTGTATTGAAAAAATCCTTGTACGCGTGGAACCCTCGTTTTGC